TGTGATTTTCTTCATTTCTTTAAAAAAATTTTTTTAATGTCTTTTATTTATTTCTGAGAGACAGAGAGACAGCATGAGCAGTGGAGAGTCAGAGAAAGAGGGAGACACAGAATCTGAAACAGGCTCCAGGCTCTGAGCTAGCTGTCAGCACAGAGCCCGACACAGGGCTCAAACCCATGAACCATGGGATCATGACCTGAGCCGAAGTCAGACACTTAACCAATTGAGCCATCCAGGCGCCCTGAGAATTCTTCATTTCTGATTTACTTATTTATTTAATGTTTATTTATTTATTTTGAGAGAGAGGGCAAGAAAATCTCAAGCAGCCTCTGTACTGCCAGTGCAGAGCTTAATGCCGGGCTTCAACCCACAAATGGTGAGATCATGACCTGAGCTGAAAAAGTCGGTCAGAAGTTGGATCCTCAACCAAATGAGCCACCATGGTGCCCCATATTTCTGATTTATATCATCTGTTTCTTTTCTCCTTTTGTTCATGCTTACCTTAAAGTACCTCAACATATTTAATAACTTAATTAAATCCTTGTCTGCTGCTTGCACCACCCCCTGTCATTTCTGAGTCTGCTTTTATGACTGATTTTTTTCCTTCTTGGTTACAGATCACATTTCCTGGTTATGGATTACATTTTCCTGCTTCTTTGCATGTTGAAGAAATTTTGATTGGATGCTGGATGTTATAATATTATGTTGGTGAATGTTGGGTTTTGTTGTCATTTAAAAGTATTTAAAAAGGGATGCCTGGGTGGCTTAGTCAGCTAAGTGTTCGATTTCAGCTCACATCATGATCTCACAGTTCGTTGGGTTTGAGCCCTGTGTCAGGCTCTGTGCTGACAGCTCAGAGCCTGGAGCCTGCTTTGAATTCTGTGTCTCCCCTTCTCTCTGCTCCTCTCCCGCTTGCATTCTATGCCTGTCTCTCTCAAAGATAAACATTAAAAATAATTTTTTTTTAAGTAAAAGTATTGTTTTGGTGAGTGATAAGTTACATGCAGATCCACTTGGTTGTCTTGAAACTTGCTTTGCTTCTGCCACAGTGAGTCTAGATGAGGCCTTGTTCTCAGGTTACCTCAGCCCTGCTACCTAGAGGAAAACTTGTGGTCCCCAATTATTGATGCCCTAGATGATCAGTAAGATCTCTTTACTTTGGCTAGTTGGTCCTTAGGTACCTGCTAGTCTTCTGCGACATCTGGGAATTATTCAGCTTATATAGCTCCCGAGTAGTTGTTCTAGTAGCTGGATGCTTCTCTGGTCTCATGGAGTATTGCTCTTCCATGTGCAGCTTACTGCATTTACCCAAAGATCAAAGGGATCCTTATGCAGGTTTTTATGTACCTTCCCCACAGTTGGTAGTTGGCTCCACAAATTTTAGCCACACTACTGAATTCCTGTGAGCCCTCTGTACTCTGCTTAGATCCTCTCCCTGCACTGCATTCCAGAAAATGCCTCTTGATAAATCATATGGATTACCACATTTGCTTGCTATATCTCAGGGTTCACTGAACTGTGTTGTATATTGTTCAGTGTCAGAAAACAAGTATTCTCTTACATTTTTTTTTTTAAGAAATGAAGGAATCTTTTTTTTTTTTTTTCAATTTTAGAGAGAGAGAGAGCATAAGCAAGGGGGAGAGGGGCATGGGGGGAGAGAGAATCTCAAGCAGGCTCCATGACTTGATATAGGGCTTGATCCCACGACCCTGGGATCATGAGCTGAGCCAAAATCTATAGTTGGACGACTAACTGACTGAACCACCCAGATGCCCTCGCTTTCTCTTATATCTTGTCCAATGTTCAAGTTGTATGTGGTGGGAAAGAAAGTTGTTAATTAAAGATGGTTAATCATGGCCAGAGTGTCATATTTTTTATATAGCTGATACTTATTCTTTTCAAGGTTTGTTTTACCAAAGAAGCCCTCTTTAAGGGAAAAAACTTTTATTGAAATATAATTGATACATGACAAATTATACATATTTAATTACTTTATAAGTTTTAATATATATATTTATATATTCTCATTAAATCATCACCACAATCAAGGTAGTGAACATATTCATCACCCCCAAAAGTTGTAGCATACTCCTTGGTAACCTTTCCCTGCCTCTCTTCTTGTCCTCACGTTCCCTGGCAACCACTGATCTGCTTTCTGTCATTATAGATTATTTGCATTTTCTGCAGATTTATGTGTAAAGTAGTACATCATCCAGTATTTTCAGCTTTTGGTGTTTTCTTTCACTCAGCATAATTACATGTTGTTACATGTATCAGTAAATAGTTGCTTTTACTGCTAATAAGTATTCCGTATGTTGATTTGTTTGTCCATTCATCTATTGGTGGATATGTGGTTGTTTTCAGTTTTGGGCTATTACAAATAAAGGTCTTATAAACATTTGTATACAAGTTTTTGTACAAAATTATTTCCTTTTCTCTTGGGTAAATACCTAGAAGTGGAATAGCTAGATCATTATTTACAAGCTGACTAATTATTTTCCAGAGTGGTTGTACAATTTTACATTCACATCAGCCTTAGAGTGTCTTAGAGTGTAAGGTGTCCACACTCTTACCTGCATTTGGTATGGGCAGTCTTTTATTATTTTTTTTTTAAGTTAATTTATTTATTGAGGGAGGTGGCGAGGCAGCGAGAGGAGAGAATCCTAAGCAGGCTCTGTGCTTAAACCCATGAACCCGTGAAATCATGATCTGAGCCAAAATCAAAAGTCAGACGTTTAATCGACTGAGCCACTTTGGCGCCCCAGACAGTCTTTTTAGTGGGGATGTAGTGGTATTTCACTGTGGTCTTAATTTGCACTTCTCTAATGACTAATGATGTTGAGCATCTTTTCATGGTGATTCTTTGCCTTTTGTATATTTTCTTTGGTGAAGCATCTGTTCAAATCTTTCCCCCCACTTTAATTTTAATTTGATTTAATTTTTTTATTTATTTATATAATTTTGAAAAAGAGAGCAAGACAAAGAGGGAGAGAGTGAAAGTGGGGAGGGTCAGAGAGAGGAGGAAGAGAAAGAATCCCAAGCAGACTCCATGCTGTCAGCACAGAGCCCAACATGGGGCTCAAACCCACAGACCATGAGATTATGACCTGAGCCGAAATCAAGAGTTGATCGCTCAACTGACTGAGCCACCCAGGTGCTCCACCCCATTTTTAAAATTGTGTTGTTTTCTTATTGCTGAACTTGAGAGTTCTTTATGTATTCTGGATATAAGTCCTTTATTAGATATATGCTTTGGAAAGATTTTCTTCCAGTCTGTGGCTTATCTTTTCATTCTCTTCTTAACAGTGTCTTTTGAAGAGCAAAAGATTTTAATTTTGGTGAAAGCCAATTAATTTTTAAAAATGTTTTATGGACCTAGCTTTTGGTTTCCTATGTAAGAAATCTTTGCCTAACCCAAGATCACCCAGGATCTCCTATTACAAGTTTTATAGTTTTAGGCTTTACATTTAGGTGTGTGATCCATTTTGATATAACTTTTGTATAATGCAGGAGTATGGATCCAAGTAATTTTTTAGCATTTTGATATCCAGTTCTGGTACCATTTGTTGAAAAGGGTATCTTCATTGCATTGCTTTTGAGCCCTTGTCAAAGATCAACTGAATGTATATGTGTGGGTTTAATTTTGGATTTTTCTGTTCTGTTCCAGTGATCTCTTTGTCTTTATACCAGTACTGTACTGTCTTGATTACTGTGGCTTTATAATAATTATATAATATTTTATAATTATATAAAATAAGGTAGTGTTAGCTTTCCAACTTTTTTCTTAGTTGTTTTGGCTATTTTAATTTCTTTACATTTCTATATGAATTTTAGAATCAGCTGTTAATTTCTACAAAAGACCTTGCTGGGATTTTGACTTGGGTTCTTTTAGAGGTACGGTTCAAATATTGAACTAACTAATAGGGACACTAACATCCAAACAACACTGAGCCTTCTAACCCATAAGAAGACTATATTGCTCCATTTATTTTTCCTTTTATTTTGCCATTATTTTTACTTTATTTGTGTAGTTTTCAATGTACAGGTCTTTCCCATCTTTGTTAGATTTATCCTTACTATTTTTTGTGCTGTTATAAATGATATTTTCTTTTTCAGGTTTAATTAATTCGCTTTATTCCTCTTGTATAAGAACACTATGTGGTGGCCATAGCTGGAGCCTGAGTTCTCTGCATGGAGACTCTCTGATGTGGTCAAGATGGTCAGTGAATTCCTGACAGGGAAACTTGGTGAACACAGCCTCTTTCCAGAGTGTTGGGTGGGGGGAGGCAGCTATAGGTCTTAGAGATGACATCAAAGATTGCTTTGGCAAAGTTGCCCCAGGTGACACTGTAGCCCCTGGCTGAGGTGTGACAGCTGTCAACACCTGCCATCAGCAGCTTTGTGGGCATGGGTGTCTGGGTGTGAGGGGGAAGCAGACCAGCGCAGAGTCACATCATCCTGTCACCTTCAAGGAATCTGTAGGATGTGCCAGTAGTGTTCCCCCAGGGGTCTGCCTGCACAGGACAATGGAGAGCTTGGCCAGGATGATGGCCCCATGGATGGCAGTGGTTACCTCCTTGGAACACTTAACACCCAGACCAGCATGATTGCTATAGTCCTTGATGGCAACAAGTACCTCAAACCTGACCGACTGGCCAGCACTGCTCCGCTTTTATACAGGCATAAGGGAATGTCTGTCTCCAGGAAAAAGTATATGATCTCAGATGCCTTGATGGACAGGAAGAAGAGTTCAGTCTCTTTTAAGGACTTGATCATCATGTCCTTGACCTGGGTAAACACTGATAAATTGTTGGTTGTAAAAGGGGTAAAAGGTTTTTGAAAGTTTGTGTTTTACAGAGGTTTGTTTTGTTTTGTTTTGTTTTGTTTTGAATTGTTGACCACCAGTGTCTATCCTCTTCAGCCTTCCAGAATTCTTTCTCAAGTTGTAGGTCATTGCTGTGGTTTTCAGTAAATTGTCCCCTTTGGTCTGATTCTGACAGGTACTGGAGGCTCAGAGAAGGCATCAGAAGGAGAAATCTGGCATCATACCTACCTCACCAACACCCTACACTTATAACAAGGTAGGGGAAGAGATACTTGCCTTCACCCCTCAGGTGTAGCTCTGCTTCTCCTGTGAGGTATTTGTGGCTCTTTGGGAATGTGGCTAAATCCATTCTTATTCCTGCCCAAAAGGCTGGCAGCAGCCACACATGCAGAAAATACTTGGAATTCAAGTTTTTTTCTGATGAAATGTGACATAAGGTTCCTGGCAATTGAGGTTTTGCAGCAGGAACCAAGGGCGATGGTCGCCTGTAGGTTATGTATTTGGGTAACTGTACAGTCCACTGACCACATTTAAAAGACATGGTTGTCTTGATTTTTTGAGGTGGAGGCCATTTCTGAGAACGTTTCATGGCCATTTATGGTACCATTCTTTCTTACCCCAAAATACTGAACTTAGAACAGCGTCTGTGACACACAGCATGTGTTACTGGTACTATCACAGTTCTCAGTCTGCAGTCTACACATCAGGATATCTGCTCGAAAGCACAAGAATATTAGGGCCTCTTAAAGCAGGTCCTGGAGTCACTGAGTAGATCAGAAAAAAAAAAACTGCTGCTGGGGGACTCATGCCTGAATGTAGATGACAGAGAAGGACCTGGGTGTGGTAAAAAGGCAGTAGGCTGGCTCTTCTTGGGTCCTGCACTTTAGAGGGCAGCGCACAAAGAACACACAGCTCCACTCATGACTCCGCACTTCACACTGTCACTGACACAGTGTAACCAGGACCCTGAACATCTAGTTTCATGATTAACACTTGTCAGTCCCCAAGTACTTACTGCTCCACATCTTCTTGGCCTCACAAACTCAAAACCACAGGCAGCTCTGCCCTTATGGAGTGAAGGTTTGAGGGCTGTGCTGATTATGGCATCAGATTCAGAAACTGCTTCCTGCTTCTTGATGCAGGCTGGAAGTGAGTAGTAGAAGCACTTAGATGACATTGATTTACTTGCTAAAATCTTCTCGGCATGAATGCAGTGGATTCCTGTGTGATATATTATTTTCTGGTGCTATTTTTTTCTTTTCCTGTTCCATTTTGTAAACCTTACGGTGCTCACTAACTAGCATGGCATTCATAAAAATTACACACTGCACATGAATAACATGTTGAAATAACAAAGAGCTCATATTACTTTTGAATGTGGATATATGTTTGTCTAGAGATAATCTTTATACTGGCAACTAAATGAACACTGAATGCTATATTTGCAAATAATATTTTAACAAAAATACATAGTAAGATGCAATTAAACTTTTAAAGTTTTTTTTTTTTTTTAATGTTTTTTATTTATTTCTAGGAGAGAGAGAAACAGCGTGAGCAGGGGAGGGCCAGAGAGAGAGGGAGTCACAGACTGAAACAGGCTCCAGGCTCTGAGCTGGCAGTCAGCACAGAGCCCGACGCGGGGCTCGAACCCACGAACCGCGAGATCATGACCTAAGCGAAAGTCGGACGCTTAACCGACTAAGCCACCCAGGCGCCCCGCAATTAAACTTTTAGAAGTTAAACAGATCAACCTCAATTTAAAAAAACAGTAGTATCAGTTTCCTCGTGCGGAAAATGAGGGATCTGAATTGTTTTTAAGATTCCTTTCATTTCTATGATTTTTTAATTATGTTCTATAGCATGGGTCATGTCATCTACAAACACCCATGAGTATGATGCCAAAACATGGGTAGGGGGAGTACCTGAGACACCCTGTTTTCAAGCTCTTCTCAGCAAGATGCAGCTGTGGTATGGCGAGAGCACGTGGCCGCAGCGGCAGGCTCCCTGGGCTGCCTTTCTCAGGCACACACTGCTTCTGTCCTGCAATTCAAGACAGGCTTGAATTGAAGCCTCTGAGGACCCAGGTTCTGAGGCAGGTAGATGTGCATTTAACTAACTTAGGAGCCCTTTATTAATAATCATGTTGTGGCTCTTGCCCATGAAGGCACCTTAACACCTACAGACAAAGTAGTTGGTGGTAATTTTCTTTCTCTTAGACGATCTTCCCCAAGAATGGCATATGGTCTTGCACATGGGTGCAGTGAGTCATCTGTGGGCAAAGGAGTGCTTGTAGACCTCCTGTTCTTCCCTCTACTGCCTCTTTCTGATCTGTGGCAAACTGCTTTGGGTTTTGATGAAATGACTTGTGGTATATCAAAGGGTCAGCCTGTCTGTGTCTTAGCTACTTTGTTCCTGTACCCTCAACCCTGCCCAGGTTGACATAGTACATGTTTCTCAACCAGCTGGTTTATATCTGTTACTAATATAGCTGGAGACGAAGTGTCATACACCTGTACCCAAGGATCGGTTAGCAGCTTGGGCCTGAGTGGTGAGAATAAAATTGACTGTTTATTTTACCCTAGACTGGCCTTGTATGCTGGTGTGTATGTATGTAGCGGTGGTGGCATAGAAAACATATGGAGAGAAAGGTTAGTTCCCTTAAGACTTCTGAAACTTTTCCAGTCTCTGTTAAGTGGTTTTTGGAGATGCCAGCCTGTGTATGTTAGGGGCTCTTCCTGGGCTGGTCCTGGGGGCTTTATTTTGGGGCTGTACCTCTGCTCGTAAGTGACTGTTTTCTTTTTTCTTTCAGAGCTGTGACTTGTGGTCCCTAGGGGTGATCATCTATGTGATGTTGTGCGGATACCCTCCTTTTTACTCCAAACACCACAGCCGGACAATCCCAAAGGATATGCGGAGAAAGATCATGACAGGCAGTTTTGAGTTCCCAGAAGAAGAGTGGAGCCAGATTTCAGAGATGGCCAAAGATGTTGTGAGGAAGTGAGTCCCCAGCCTGCAGGGTGGGGAGGCCAAGGAGGCCTGAGGTGGTGGTGGAACACAGGGGAAAAGTCATTGGTTTCCCAGGCATGTTCCTTCCTGTTTGCACATCATAGATATCTCATTCCTGCGGTTTGAGATGAGAGCTCTGCATATCCACCTTGGTGAAAATGGAGCTTTGCTTCCACCTGTTGCATTCTTAGAATGTTGGGCACTGTTCCAGCAATCCTACTGCTTCGTGTTCACTGAGCAATTTTCCCTCTTTTGGTTTTAGTTTTCTTTATCTGCAATGCAGTGAAGATAAGCATTAAAGGGGCAGTGCCCGGGAGCTGTCTCCTGACAGTACAGCCATTTCTCTGTGGAGATTACTCCCTTTCAAAAGTGAGCTTGTCCTGTTGGTTAAGAATCTGTGTGTATAAAGAGGGATTAGTTTCTAAACTATACAAATAAAAGTTTTTAGGAGGGTGGAGGGAATGTTTACAGCATCATTTGTCTTGCCATGCTTTTTCCACACTGTATTCTCAGCTACTTAACCAAAACATCAGTGTCCTCTAAGTGGTTCTTTGTCAGTTCTGTAGAATATATTTCCTGTCCCTAGAGTGACATTGATTATCTTCTTTCAGTTTCCAGATTCTTTTCTTTTTCTTTTTTTTTTTTCTTTTCTTTCCTTCCCTTCCCTTTCCTTTCCCCTTCCTCCCTCCCTCCCTTCCTTCCTCCCTCCCTCCCTCCCTCCCTCCCTTCCTTCGTTCCTTTTCAATGTTTGTTTATTTTTGAGGGGGAGAAGAGGCAGAGAGAGAGGGAGAGAGAAGATCCCGAGCAGGCTCTGCACTATGTGTGCAGAGCCTGATGCGGGGATCAAACCCGTGAACCGTGAGATCATACATGACCTGAGCTGAAATCAAGAGTCGAATGCTTAACTGACTGAGCTACCCAGGTGCCCCTTGGATTCTTTTCTAAATAATCCTTTCTTTAGAATCTGAAGCTGTTTGTTCAGAACGATCCAGAAGGTTGCAGAGAACCTGAAAGAACAAGTGCACATGTTGTCCTTACTCTGACGTATATAGTCAGAGCATATGTAGTTGGAGGGGCTGTAAAAAGGCCAGGAAACATGCTGAAGTGAGCTAAGAATTATATCCGCATGAACAGACAAGATGTAAAGAATTATCAAAATGCAGATGGTACACAGCAATACATTCGACTTAGAAAGAAATGCCTTCTTCCCCTTCTCAGAGACTAAATTTTTAGCTTGTGAATATTTTTGGAATAAAGGGTTCATGTGGTTACAATCTAACAGTTTTATCACAAGTACCAACCTGGATTTTCATTACTACATGACCCTTCACTTAATTTTGTAGTGACTGTCAGTGAAAAGAGCACTTTGAGTCCCTTTTGGAAATTGGACCCCACTGTTCTAAAAACATGAGTATGGAGATTCAAGTCTCAGGAACTGTAAGCTGTGTATGGTCTTACTGAATCTAGAACTCAGTCTGAAGTATCACTGAATTAAGCCTTTTCCTGTCTGTTTTATCTCACTCTGTTTAGTGTAGAAAGGACTACCAAAGGACACAGTGCCCTCACAACTAGTGGCTAGGAACTAGAACCCCACCCCTGCCTGCAGATAGAAAGCCTAAGCTTGTAGGAGTTGGTAGAAAGTCAGAAGCTAGAGCTGGTAAGAACCAGACTCAGGAACTTCCTGGCCTTCTGGAAGTGACTATGCACAGCACCCCTGTTGGCCTTTTCTCCACAGGCTCTTGAAGGTCAAACCAGAGGAAAGACTCACCATTGAGGGCGTGTTGGACCACCCATGGCTCAACTCAACTGAGGCCTTGGATAATGTGCTACCCTCTGCTCAACTGATGATGGATAAGGTTTTGAATGATGCTTACTTTATTCACCAAAAAGGCTCTGCTGAGAAGGAATGCTCAACAAAGTTCAGGGAGGGGCCAAAGGCAGAGCAATACAGAGCACTCAGTCTTTACCAGAGAGATATCCCTGCTTTCCTGAAAGTCAGGATCTGAAATAAAACTTCTTTGCATAAAGACCAGATCAAGGCCCGGTGAAGGAAAATCCAGATCTTCCATATTTATGCTATGGGGCTGGGGGAAACATAGTACTATGAGACACCCTCCCTTCCCCCGAGGGGCTTAAACAAGACCTGTTGGAAAGACTAGTTTACCTGAAACAGGGAGGCAATATTTTAGATATCAGAGCTTTGCATGCTGCATCTTCTATGAATGCTGTGGGAATTCAGAAAAAGAAAACATCTTTGAAGGGGTGTAATTACGGAGAGTTCCCAAAGAGAAGGCAACTCCCCCATACTTATTAATTACTACATGGCAGTTTTTAACCTGTTCACAGGTTTAGCTATGAGCTGCCTCAGAGAACTTGAGCAGACTGCAGTAAGTGCCCAGGTGTAGGGAACACCAGGAGCTAACCATTACAGACCGAAGTGCCTGAGTGGGAAAAATCACCTGGCTTATTAACGGGAAGTCCAGGAGACATCTGCAGCAGGGCTAGTCTTTGAAAGTACACAGAGGAGCTTAAGTCTTAGTAGAGCATAGCTGAGAGGGCTTTGTAAATTTGGAGGAAGAGATTTGCCACAGGGAAGGTATTTAGGGAGGGTCAGCCAGTCTTGCAGATCTTGCCAACCTAAGACTTCTGCAGTAATCTGCAAGCTGAGGGGCAGCTCTAGGAACAGAGAAGTGGAAACATATGAATAGACTGAATATTTTTTAAGACAGATTTCTACAATTTTTGGTGACTTAGTAGATAAGAAGGGGACAGTGGGTGTCATATCCAGTGATACCATTGACAAATAGAGGGAAATCAGGAACAAAGCTGGTTTAGGTATTGTTTAGATGGACATGCAAATGAATGAGATGGGTTGTGTTGGACTATAGTGTAGTTGAGAGGTAAAAGCAGTGACACAGACATGAGTTTTACCCACTTAGAAGGCATGGGATTGAAATGTGAGAAAGAATAAGGGGATAGGAAAAAATTCTAAGTCCCCCTTAGTTTTGCTGGAGTATAGGAAAGAAAGAGCTGGAAGGAACAGAGTTCTTTGCCATATCTGATTTTGTGTGGTTCTCCTCTTTGTTTAAATATGCCCATAGTCCAGAATTGGTTTGATCAGTCCAAAATCCTAAGAGATTATTTAAATTGGCACATGGGGGTTATAGTGTGGCTTTCCTCAAGATCGTGGGATTGAAGAAGTAAAATTGCTTTCTGGAGTTACTTTAGACTTAGTGCATAATGAAGCCAAATAGGAAGATGCAGAATCTTCTTTTTTTTTTTTTTTTAATGTTTTTATTTTTAGGGGAGAGAGAGACAGCGTGAGCTGGGGAGGGTCAGAGAGAGAGGGAGTCACAGACTGAAACAGGCTCCAGGCTCTGAGCTGGCAGTCAGCACAGAGCCCGACGCGGGGCACGAACCCACGAACTGCGAGATCATGACCCAAGCGAAAGTCGGACGCTTAACCGACTAAGCCACCCAGGCGCCCCGGAAGATGCAGAATCTTCTTAATGAGAAAGAGCAGCCCCTAGGCCTAGAAGATGGAATTGCAAGGTGACAGACCGTATATTCCCATTTTTAAAGAAATGATGGGGTCATGATGTAGGATGGCCAACTCTGAAGTGTAGAAAAATGGCCACATATGTGGATATTGAATAGTGTCCCATCTAAGCCCTGCCTAGGAGATGGAGTCTGAGCTGACAGCCTTGAGCTATTCTCATCTTTTTTATCAAGCCATCACTGATAGGGGTGATGTGTATATGCAGTGGAGTTTAGCCAAGGCTAGCTATTATAGTTCCCTTAAATGAATTCAAACTCTCCCTGATCTAATTGCATGCTTAACAGGGAACTACTTTTTAAAACTGTCAAATTTTATTGTTGAAATTCAAATAGTACAGAGATATATAAAATAGCATAAATTCCTTTTCATTCCCCTGGCCTCAGTCTCACCTCTCAGAGATGAGGTCATCTATGGCTTAATGTATCCTTACTGATCTTTTTCTGCAGAGACACACATACACTCACAGTTTGTCCTTTTTAAAAATATAAACCTGGGATCATCTTGTTCTTAGAAAGCTTTCTGCTGATTATTTATCTTTCTTAATTGGTCTGCCCATAGTAGGAGCCAGCACTGGTCATAAAGACACAGACTTCAGAAGTTCTAGACTCCATTGACAGTTATTTCTCATTGTAAATTAATTGACTGGCTTAAAGATCAGTTTCTGATGATCTACCATGCTTAGCCATATGAAGTAGTTGGGGTTCTGAGCCATCAGGGCTGAAATGATTGTGTACACTGTGGGGGCAGTGAATAAATGCCACTATGGGAAGCTTCTCAGGCAGCAGCCTACCAGCCTTTCCCCTGATGGACACGAATGCCTCTCTTTACAGTTGCTCTTGCCAGTGACTGTGAACATGAATCTTGTTAGTACGTCTTACTTGCATTTCTGTCCACATGCAGGGAAGACGAGCTAGCTGTTGTTTGGCCCTTGGTTTGCCTGGTATTCCCTGGGCTTGGCAATCCATGGGAAGAATGCTCTAGCTTATCAAAATTTGTTTTCTGCCAGCATAACAGTGAAACTCCTTTCTTAGTTCCTTGAGCTTCTCCATACTCTCTTAGATTGGCTCTTTAGGTGCCTCAAAGTGAGTGGAAACTGATGACAGTGTTTACATTCAGGCGGTGGTTGCGGGAATCCAGCAGGCTCACGCGGAACAGTTGGCCAACATGAGAATCCAGGATCTGAAAGTCAGCCTCAAACCCCTGCACTCTGTGAACAACCCCATTCTGAGGAAGAGGAAATTACTCGGGTAACTAAGCTTGTTTTGTGGATTCTCCATGGTTGGTGTGGCTGAGTGCAGGATTGGGAGAGGTCAGCCAGGGGCCTGCCCTTTTTCTACATCTTAAGAGGGTGGAGAGGATGGCTTGTTAAATAGCATCAGAGGTTGGAGACACTCTATAGTTAATTATTTATCGGAAAAATGTGCTGCCTTATCTTTAGAGTTAACAGCTGTGGAGAGTTGTTTTGAGGTTTCACCTTGTTATTACCTCTCTCCCAAACTTTTAAAGCACCAAGCCAAAGGACGGTGTTTATATCCACGACCGTGAAAATGGAGCCGAAGATTCAAATGTTGCCTTGGAAAAGCTCCGAGATGTGATTGCTCAGTGTATTCTCCCCCAGGCTGGTAAAGGTCACGCCATTTACCAATGTTCCGTGTGTGTGAGTGTGTGTGTGTGCGTGCGTGCGTGTGTGCGCACACGCACAAACATGCACATGACAGGACTGGTTTAATTTGAGGCTGTCTGTTCCACCTTTGTGTTGTAAGAAAATAATTATATAAATTACTTAAGTTATAAATTTATATAAATTATTATATAATTGTGTGTGTGTGTGTGTGTGTGTATATATATAATCTGTGCCCACTAAAAAGAGAGAGTAGTGGGAACTCGGAAAGGTGGTACATTTCATCCCTTTTTTGGTTTTCTGTGAAACTACTGGTTGACATTTAATTGCCAGCATCTCGTGCAGCATGCAGTTTTGTGTTTTCTTAGTTTGTTAACGAGGGCACAGGATAGAAGATGGAGAATGGAAAAGTGGACAGGGTCAGGATCAGCTTTGTGGAGGTCAGGAACATTTCCAGAGCCTTTAGAGTGTAAGGCTGTCATTAACTTATGGATATAAAGAGAATACCTTCCAAGTTCAGAAGTGACCCCTGCTGCTACTTGTATCATGGGCAGAGTGTGACTTGTACATGTCTCCTTTTGAGTGAGCTTTCTTTTAATACACTCAGCGGAGTGTCATGGGCTCTTCTCAGCACATGAATGAGAGGTTTCAAGTAGTAGATCAGAAAACCGTGTAGATTTCTTGGGTTTTAAGAGAACTCACAGTGTACCTCAGCTTCCAAAGTAAGAAATGAGCCTGGGAGAAAGAGGTGGTCCCCTCAGCCTTGCCCTCTCTTCCTCTCTTGGTCTCATAGGTTAACCAAGTGTTTTTGCTCGCAGCAGAGTCTGACTGCCTGTGCTAAGTGCCAAGTGCTTAGACCCTGGGGCTATGAGAGGAGTTGTGTGAGGCTGTCAGAGTAAAAGAGTTCAAAGCCCAGAAGTGGCCTCCATGTAATGTAAGGACTAGTACAGCATCTGTGAAAGTTTTCCCCTTAACTCACCACTTCTCAACAAGCTGGACATCAGGTCTTTCCATCTCTGACACTTCACATCCCATGATGCCACAGGAAAACGCAACTTCTTCTTCATCTTTATTAATAGGAGAGAATGAAGATGAAAAGCTGAATGAAGTAATGCAGGAGGCTTGGAAGTATAACCGGGAATGCAAACTCCTGAGAGATACTCTGCAAAGCTTCAGTTGGAATGGTAGGTAACTTCTCCCTTTCTCCATGAATGCAGAGAAGTGATTGCATGTGGAACATGGAGGATGTCTGGGGGCTGAGCTGGGGCTGTTTTGAGGGTAAGTGAGTGGAGGCTAGAAAGTGAATGGCATACTCTAGGACAGGGTTAGTCCTACATTAACTGCACAGGCATGGACGTCTGCCCTCTCACTTGCTTTCCAGAGTTCAGATGAACTGTGTGCTGCAGATTCCACACTGCAGAGCCCCTGTCTCACACCCCTTGGGTACCTTACTGGGTCCCTGTCAAGAATCTCACCTCCAAACATTTGGAGACTGACTTTTTTTTTTTTTTTTGCATTTCAGGTCGTGGATTCACAGATAAAGTGGACCGACTAAAACTGGCAGAAATTGTGAAGCAAGTGATAGAAGAGCAAACCATGTCCCATGAATCCCAATAATGACAACTTCAGACTTTTTTTTTAACAATTTGAAAAATTATTCTTTAATGTATAAAGTAATTTTTATGTAAATTAATAAATCATAATTACATTTCCACATTACTTAAAGACACTGTATAGATTTAAATACAGGACTTACTCATAGTATAGTTCATTTGTTTGTTTTTAAGAAAAGCCCAGTTCCTAGAGATATACTATTACTCTAGGACTGTTTTCTCATATGTTTGTAAGATGACAGATGGTACTGTCAAACAAGATTGTTTTATTTGTAATAAAGTGTACAAAAATCATTTGCCAGTGATAGACGAAGGGCCGACTATACTGACCTGTCCAGTAAACATCTGAATCAAGTACTGTGGAATCTGGTTTTACTCGCCCTGTGTGTTTGCTTTCTGCACCATTGGTAGATTAGCTCTGGGGCCAAAAAAATTTTGTGGATCCATGTTGCAGACTGCCTGCTGGAACCCACAGGATGCCAACTCCCATGATGGAAGGGGCAAGGAGCTAAGCCCTCATTTCTCTTGTCTCTAATTCCTTAGAAGTGGTAACATTTCCTTTTTTATTTTTATTTTTTTGTCATATCTTTTAAAAGATATGGTGGGTTGCTTAAATCTGACAGGATTTTGAGTTTATTCTTTTCATGTAGAACTAGAGCTTTATTCTGCTCCTCTGAGGACCTGCTCAGTCCTCCTCCCTTCCCCACAGGCCTCACCAAGCTCCGTTGCTGCTGCTTCCTTTTTTCTGTTCTCCTGGCCCTTTTTATCAGATAATTTTTCTGAGAAAGTTACATATCATGTAAACTGGACTATTGGATTAGCATCTAAGATGGTCCAGTTTTTTCTCCTAAAGCTGCCCTTTTACTCTTTGATGTTTCAGCCTGCACTTCATGTTGGCATCCCCAGGCTATGTCTGTTTCGTTCAGTGTTATTCATTTTCAGGAAGGGTGGTTTTGGCCCAGAGGTCAGCTGTTTGAATGGAAAAGAAGGCTGGATGCTTTTTTAGTTTTCTGTTATGCACATGGGCTTCCATAACAAACCATTATTTGTTTGTTTGTGTGTTTATCAGTTTTTGGTGGGTCCTGTGTTGGTAAATAGAAGAGCTAACAGGCAAACTCCAATTCACAGAGCAGAGGAAGACAGTCGCAGGTACAATTCTTCACTTTTGTCCTGTCACATTCTCTTCAATCAAAATTGACCTCATAGACTTTACTTCTTTTCTGATTCGTCCACTTTGCTGAACATGTCCTCAGGATGACATCTGGTTAGTGTGCATCGTGTGTATGTGACTGACTGGAAATAACATGATAAAAACACAAAGCATCTTACAAGGATTACCTTATTATATTGGGTAATAGGTATTTTTTTTGTGGTAAGGCTCCTTAATCTTAGGTGACTAATAACTCTTGTAATAACTCTCCCCGTAAGGAGAATTCAGTGCTTTTAAATGTAGTAAAATCGAACAGTGAGGCAGCAGACAAAAACAAAATGTTTTCTTATTTATTGACCAGAAGACTTAGCTGAGAGTTGAATTAAGGGTTGAATTAAATTGTTGTTTTTTAGTGAAATGCAGTCTTACAGATCGCTTATTAAAATCAGGAAAAACACTGCACTTATTTCTAGAACAACGGAACAAATGTTCGCCTGTTGTTTTTCTCAGGGCAGAGGTATTGGCTGGAGGGAGGAAGGCCATAGTAAATTTTGTTACTCTTTTTCTTCAGAGTAAACCTCTGGTATGCCCAGTCTACCATTAACTTCTCAATTTTTCATCAGGGTACCTTCTTCCAAAGACTCTGGATGATTTTTTTCCCCCAAATTTAGCGTGTGGTGGATTTTAGGCATGATCTAAAAGGACAGCCACAACAGTGCTTCCTTTTACTCTAAGCAACAGTTGCCCACGTTTTAGTCATGCCAGGCCGAATTAATCTGGCCCCGAAAAGAAGTGCTGCACCCACCTATGCCCACGTGAGAGCTCCATGCTGGATGCTGCTGAATACCCTGGAGGATAGTCTAGCTGTTATAATGCAAACAGTCCTTGACAGAACAGTAGTTCCCAAAGGACTCAGCACTGTTTGTGGTCCTCAAAGTGCAGTTTTGCTTGTGGAGTTTGTAGGCCAGTAGCAAATTCTGCTTTGACATGCCAACCAGATTTCCTAATAAAGCAAATTTCACATGTAACTGGATGTGAAACAAAATCATCTTCGTCTTTTCCTGCCTCTAAATGCCTATACCTGCAGGCAGTTCACGTTGTAAGAACAGTTCTTCTAGGCAGGAGATTAGTCTCCAGTTTTCCCACATGATTTGCTATCCCTCTGTTTAACTAAAACCATTACTTTCCACTCCAATGCCTATAGACTTGAACATGGTTATAAATGTGCTTGACGTATAACAATTTGTGTATCTTTCTGGTTAATTGTATAAGCATAGGAGAATACCTGTCAGAAATGTGTTTGAAACACAGGAGGGTAGCTTTTTAGCTTTTTAAAGCTAGAAGTAGATAACGCTTTTTAGGGGCACCTGGCTGGCTCAGTCAGTGGAGTGTGCCACTCTTGATCTTGTGTGGTGAGTTCAAGTCCCACATTGGGCATAGAGTCTACTTAACAAGTGAAAATTTTTTTCTTTAAATATATAACTTTAAAAAAATTTTTTTAAACGTTTTATTTCTGAGAGAAAGACAGCGTGAGAAGGGGATGGTCAGAGAGAGAGGGAGACACAGAATCCGAAGCAGGCTCCATGCTCTGAGCTGTCAGCACAGAGCCTGACAGGGGGCTTAAACCCACGAACCGTGAGATCATGGCCTGACCCGAAGTCGGACGCCCAACCGAGCCACCCAAGCGCCCCAAAGAGATAACTTTTTAAGAAGAGTTTGTTGTATTCACGTGAGGAAGAACAAATTGAAGGAATTATTGGTTAAAGAACTCAAATGGTCCAAATCAGAGCTTGTCTGTGAACACATATGTGCGTATGTATTAAAGAAAATGTGTTTCAATTTGAGAAATGGAAAATTGGATATACTTAGTTTTAATTATATTTCTATTTAAAAAGTAGAAGTGTTCTTTCATTATTGATTTGTTTATTTTATCCCACAAAATGACTCCATTTGTCCTGCCTCTTTGGTTAAAATACAGGGAAATACCTTAAGTCTGTATTAATTTCCAAATTATAGAATTCGAACAGGCTTTCTCTTAAATAAAAGAAGAAATCTAGCTAAAAATTATTTTACCTTATTTGCTATAAATTTTTCAATGGGTTTGTGGTATGACAGTATAAATCTTCTTGCCAGATGCTAATGACAAATTCTATCATCTGTATTAGGAGTTAAATATTGAGGTGACCTGCTCTGCTCATATCTGAGATCTTGTACCATTCCATTCCTTTTTTAATTAGATAGGGGATATCTCATTTCTGACTGTTAGTTGTAGTCATAACCCTTACTTTAAAGGTTTTATATTGTAAATATTTTACTTGATATAAAATTATTTCTATGCACTATAAAATACGTAGTCTTATTTTAGTTCATCTTAGAATGTACAGGAGTATAACTGTGCAAGGAATGTGACAGATAGTGCTTTTTTTTCCTTTCGGATTTGTACTGCAAAATACTCCAGGAAATTGACACAGAAACGAATCCAAGGACTTACACAGACATTACAGTTCAATTTTAGTTAAAGAGTGAAGAATTCTTCAAAAAAATTCTTATAGACTCCATTTTTATTTTCTTGATGAAATGGTAACTAGATACCTACTTAATCAGTTTGTTTTTATGTTGGGTCACTTGGGAGGAACTGAATGTTGATCCTCCTCACTTAGGTACTTCCATGGTAAAACTGAGCTCATTTCATTTGCCTCTTAGTATGTGCATTAGGAAAACTTCATAGCAGAAAAAATTACGTTTATATGCAAATATAAAATGTCTAAGCTCATGTGTTATGAACAAAAGCTGACAAAGGAGGGTTGGGCTGAGAAACTGTATCCTGAATACTACAGAAATGAGGAAAGGAGGCAGTGGGCAACAGAGAACTTTGTCCTGTTTAGAGATCCCCAAAGAATCCCTGTCCCCTCCCCCCAACCTCCTGCCAGAATGTTGGGTTTCAAAGAATGAGCAGATTAACGGATATCAGGAGTTGTGTGGCCTGGGCTGAGAATAAGGATAATTTGCCTGAGTTATAGTACTGACTGGATCATTACAGTCCACCTACGTGGCATATCTCTCTGTGAGGATAAAGGGAACTTACCCAAGGAACGTTGAAGCTACTGCTGTTGGAAGGAAGTCATATGGTAAGGGAACTAACGAAGGCCAAGAGTAAATAGAAATACAGCCCTTAAGTCTGCAACCCAAGAGCTGGACACCCCTAAGGGAGCCAGCACAGATCTGGGGCTAATACTCGAGTCTCTGAGGCTCAGCATGCCAGGCAGAGGTGCTGCTGCAGGACAGAGGCCCTGCAGTGCCAACTGATTCACAATGGCTGTGTCAGTGGCAGCCTCTTTGAGACACTCTGCCTCTATACTGTCATCTCTGTGGAAAGACCAAAGGGCCCTGAAAGAGGATAAGATAAAGTTTCAGACTTGGGCTCAGCAGAAGAGGAACTTGAGGCTGGGGCAAGTGCCAGAATCTTCATGTGTCAGGTTGGGGATTGTGCTGCTGTTGGTGATTTTCGTGCCAAGTATGTACTGTCACCTAGGATCTGTATATTATACTTCCTATGAAATAGTCATCCCCAGGCAGCTGACTGTTCAGGAAAGGGACACCCCAGTGAAAGACACATCCTATATGATATTTATGCAGGACCAGAAATGGGTGATTCACCTGAAGGTGAAGAGAGACTATTTTGTGAAGAACTTTCCAGTCTTCAGCTACCACAGTGGTGTCCTGCGGCAAGAAATGCCTTTCATCTCACATGACTGTCACTATGAGGGCTACATAGAAGGAGTCCCAGGTTCTTTTGTTTCTCTTAACACCTGTTCAGGCCTCAGGGGCATCCTGATTAAGGAGGGGAATCCCTATGGCATTAAGCCCAAGGACACTTCAAAACACTTTGAACATGTGTTGTACACCATGGCACACCAAGCTCGAGTCTCCTGTGGGGTCACCTCCAAAGGCAGCCAAGTGGTGTCTGCCAGCCGGCAACAGGCGAGCCGGAAGCCTCGCAGTCCACAGGCACTGCCCTCCTCGTGGTCACACACCAAGTACGTGGAGATATTTGTCGTGGTCGACAACCAGCGGTTCCAAATGTGGGGCAGTAACGTCAGTGAGACAGTCCAGAGGGTAATGGACATCACCGTTCTGGCCAACAGCTTCACTAGGGGAATAAACACAGAGGTGGTGCTGGCTGGAATGGAGATCTGGACCGAGGAGGACCTCATAGAAGTCCCAGCGGACTTGCAAGTTACACTCAGGAATTTCAACAGCTGGAGACAGGAGAAGCTCTCCCATCGTGTGAAGTACGATGTTGCCCACATGATCGTTGGACATCATCCTGAAGGAGATGTGGGACAGGCATTTCTCAATGGCGCCTGTTCAAGTGGCCTTGCAGCAGCTGTTGAAGCCTTCCATCATGAAGATGTCCTCCTGTCTGCAGCGCTCATGGCCCACGAGCTTGGGCACAACTTGGGTATTCGGCACGACCACTCAGCCTGCGTTTGTGAGGATAAACACTTGTGCCTCATGCACAAAAATATCACCAAAGAAGGTGGCTTCAGCAACTGCAGCTCTGACTACTTCTACCAGTTCCTCCGGGAACACAAAGGGACCTGCCTATTTAACAAGCCTCGGCCCCAAGGTCGCCTGCGTAGGAATACAGAGTGTGGAAATGGTGTCTTGGAGGACAATGAGGAGTGTGACTGTGGACCCGACTGTGGTAATAACCAGTGCTGTGACCAAATGTGTAGGCTGAAGGAGCATGCACAGTGTAGTGATGGACTATGCTGTTCTCATTGCCAGTTGAGACCTAAGGGATTCATGTGTCGTCCTGCTTTTGGAGAGTGTGACCTCCCTGAATATTGTAATGGTATCTCCAGAGAATGCCCCAGAGACCACTATAAGCAAGACGGTACACTGTGTGATATGATTCACTATTGTTTTGGTGGCCGGTGTAAGAACCCTGATAATCAGTGCGTGGATATATATGGGTCCCCTGCAAGGTCTGCCCCAGAAAACTGTTATATTTCCATGAACACCAAAGGAGACCGGTTTGGAAACTGTGGCTTGAGGGCCTCGTCTAGGACAAAGTATGTTAAGTGCTCTGATGAGAATATATTTTGTGGGAAACTTGTATGTACAAATATTAGACGGATACCAACAATCAAACTCTACCATACTCTGATCCAGGTAGCTCACAAAGATGACTGGTGCTGGAGCATGGATGCCTATAACATGACTGATATCCCCGATGATGGAGAGGTGCACACTGGCACTCTTTGTGCCCCATACAAAGTCTGCATGAATTACTCCTGCACTGATCATGCTGTGCTCAACTATGACTGTAAACCTAAAGAAATGTGTAATGGAAGAGGAGTCTGCAACAATTTAAGACACTGTCATTGTGAGGCTGGCTATGCACCCCCTGACTGCAAAGCTGCAGGAAATGGGGGTAGTGTGGACAGTGGTCCCCCTGGGCAACCCACTCATGACAATCTAAGTGCAGGAGGAAGTGCCAATGTTGCTAAACGTAAGAATGAAAGGAAGCCTCATGGCATGATAATTTTCATACTCCCTGGATTTCTTCTAGTATTAATGTTGGTTTTAATATTTTCCATTACCCTTAGGGCTGGAATTGAGTCAGTAGAGATGCCAAGAGGCTCCTCAGAGATCACAGAGCCTACTGTGGACAAGAAAACACAGTCCTTAGAAAAGCAACCCACAGATATTGGAGAGAAGCGTCTAGAGGAGGCTCCAGAGAAAGTCCCCTCACTGGAGAAGGAAGCCCCCCCACTAAAGAAGGCTTCCCCACTGTTAGAGGCTCCCTAACCATAGGAAGCCCCACTGCCGGAGGCCCCACCACCAGAAGCCCCAGGAAAACCTGCATCATAAGAGGTAGCAGGTGAAGGACAGGAATAACCAAAGGCAGAATAGTGGAGGAAGAAGTCAAATACATCAAATACCTCAAGCACTGAGTGGGAATGAGAAGCTCACAGAGACAAAGGTGAAGTGAGAACTGATAGCTCCAAGTGGCTCTAACTGGACTATAGGGTCTAGAGAAACAGTAACCTGGGAGGAGGGAACCCAGATTTCAAGACTTCTTGTAGTACTTTGGTTACACATTGATATAAGAACTCATACAAAATATTCTGTAGTTTTGCTCTTTCTCATTTCATGAAACAAGTTTATTTAAGCTCTTCTCATGGGTCATTGTTAGCAATGTCTTGTACTATTTGGGTCAATATCTGAACTAAAATTATTTTTCATAGCAATACCATCTTCCATCTACATTGTCTGGCACAATGTACTATCAGTACCTATGTCATTACTGATTATACACCCAAGTCACAACAATGCATTATTTAGGAATGTTATCTATTGAGTACCCTAATTTGCCATGAAGTTTCTATTCATGAAATAGACGTCTTTTAAAATAAATAAATGGCAATTTTTGGATGAAGCATCACTTCAGACTCCATGGACCCTAGTAATGCTTTTTTAATTTTTATTTTAAGAGTCTCTGGGGGGGGGGGGGGCTGCATCTGATTCAAGAATTTGGGTGAATGGGGCAGGAGTAGGCATCTGAGGCCCAGGGACATGTACACAGTGGTGTGGAATTCACATCTGAATATTTGTTAATTCTCTTGATTTCTTAATTTCTATAAGATTGATATTTATCTACTGAAAATTCATGGGAACCTCCAAATTACCTGTAACAATACATTAACTTGGTAGATATTTGTAGAGAGAGCACAAAGCACATAACAATAACACTACCATTCTGTGCAAGATACTGTGCCAAACACTTTACATTCATTGCCTTAATTTTATCCTCCCATCCATCTTCTGAGACCTCCATCTTCTACATGAGGAAACAGACATCAAGAGTTCTGCTCTAGTGCTGGGTGGAACCTGTGTCCTGCCCCAGGTATGACTGAATCTGCATTCCCCACTGCCTCATGAGCCCTGCCTTCAGTAAAAAAAAAAAAAAAAAAAAAAAGTGACCGGAACAACAATCGGTATGTCCTTTTATTGCCCAGAACACGGCTTCTTCCTCAGTGACTCTAAGGAAATGAAACCCCTATGGGATGGATGCCGATTGCTGTTGTGAACCTACCACATTGTGTAGTCATTACTGATGAAAAGTTTCTTTGCCCCATTACATCCTGACCTCATGGAGTAGCAGATTTTTATCTTATTCAGCTGTGAGGTCTCAGCTCATTGTAGGTGCTCAGTAAATGTTGACCAAGTGAAGGACTTAACCAGAGCCAATCTTAAAATAGGAGGGTAATATCTATGGATGGCACTAGCCAAAACCTTATTCAGGTGCAGTGTTGCTGCTACAGGCTGAGCGTTCAGAGTTTCAGGGAAGTTCCTGAGCATCAGTCCCTAACGATACCTTTGCTGAGTCCCTCTTCTAACTGCTTGACCTACGTTAGCAGAAAAGTGCAGACAAAGGAAGGATAAGACCTGATTTCTGCTTTTTAGAAGCTCACATTAATTACTTTTGGTGGAACAAAACTAGACTTCAGGGGAAAATAAAAAATCAGGGTCTCAGGTATGTAAGAAAGATTCCAGGTCCTGAGATTTGCTGGTCACCAAATCTCAGAGTGTTTTATGACAGATCAGGATTCATGGTGAAAACATACCATTAATAGGTAGTCAGCCGAGAGCTTTGGGAACAAGGGCAAACTGGGTAAGTGAAGGCCTCCACATGTAAACTTGTCATCAGAGACTTTTGAAAACGATGTGGAGGATTTCTGCTCAGAAACACTTCAGTGGAGAGCAGGCGGGGTGACATTCCTAACTGCACAGGTGATGGGGACTATGATAAAAGCTAAAAAGCATCACATTTTTGCTAGCTTCTCAAGTATAAGGGACTCATGATTTATGTATGGGGCGATTATGCTTAACTAAATGGTGTTCTTATCAGACCAAAAGTCAGATAGAAAACTGGGAATCAATCAATAAAACCTATTTAAAACTTCACAATGTTTGACAACAAAATTTACAAAAATTTAGCACTACAGAAGTGGCAGGTGGAATAGTCTATTTTTAGTTGCTGTCTTTATGATTGCAAGACAAGGTTGAAGGCAGGAAACAAAGGTTAGGACAGGCTATTCAAATGAACTTCCTCTGAAAAAGTGATAGAAAATTGGACATATTTATGACTGCCAGGTAGATCTTAAAATGTGTGGAGCCCCCAAATTCCAGGGTTTGAAGTTGGGTTCTTTAAGATTCGCTATAGAAGGGAGGTGACCAATTTTAAGAGAGGAGGTAGGGGAGCTTGGGTTCAAGGTTCAACGTTCTGCATTTTGTGTGACTGTTTCAACAAAGCACGTTCTTTCACTGGATTCCTCCCCTACCCCCATTATGTTTGGGGGATTCTGAGGAAGGCTTGCTTACGTGTTCCAGTGATCTGTGTTGGTAGTCACTCATGACCCCGCCAGTTGCAGCCCCAAGAGATTCTGACAGTGACTCCTTGTCATCCTTTACCTGTCTTCCCTGGGTGGCCATTTTCCTCTCTGTGCTCCCTAAGGCTGGTGGAGACCAAGCCCCTTCCCTTAGTTTCCCAGAGCACAGCCAAGTCCAGGCTCTAGATTTTTGTCCAGACTTTGAGGGAACAAAGGGAAACTACAATATGGAAAAGAAGGCATTTGGATGTGGCCAGTATTAATACCGGTGGAGTCCAGCGGTCTTGCCCCTCCCTCCCTGGGATACTTGGATAGGTGCTCTCTTTGGATGTCCCCAACCTGACATCTTTCTTTGTCCATGTAGGAGTGCTATGGGGAACGTCCTCATAACTTGGACTCAAACACTAACCTCTCCTCTGGGGCTCAGCTGAAGGAAAACAAAAAGATATACCTTCAACACAGGTGATATTATCAACCTCACAGGGAGGCAGTTCTGCACTAAATAACATTTTGCCCGAGTTCGCAAAGTTTCTTGACATCATATTAAAAATTAAAAACTTCCAGTATTTACAAACTTAATTTCAGAACAGAATATTGCTGTTTCCTTTGGGCAAATATGCTAATTGAAATGTTTTCTCCAAACCAAGAGCAGACTTCCTCCAAGAATCTGTGCAAAATGCTGACTCTTTAAAATTAATATTCCCCCTGCTTCTCGGCATTAATCTTTAAAAATATTTGGACTAGGGAAGAATAGGAAAAAAGGCCCAATACTGATTTTGCTATTTAATAAAATTATGCACGCCTCACGTGAGGAGGTTATGCAAGGAAATGCATGAGGGTAAGTAAGCAAGTTTGTGAATGACAAAGCATGGGGATTCTTCTCACAGTTAGAAAACATTTGTTTGTTTTTTTAATTTGAGAGACAGAGTGAGCAAGGAGGGCCAGAGAGAGGGAGACACATGATCAGAAGTAGGCTCCAGGCTCTGAGCTGGCTGTCAGCACAGAGCCTGACACAGGGCTCAAACCCACGAGCCTTGAAATCATGACCTGAGCTGAAGTCGGACGCCCAACCGACTGAGCCACCCAGGCGCCCCAAGTTTTAACATCTACAAAGGAAATATCAGAGGTGGAATCATGGCTGACCAAGTAATTACAACTACCTGCCCGTTTTACTGCTGTAAACTACAAGACCGGCTTTCTAAAGGCCTTCCTAAGCTTCTCCAGACACTGATCTCGTCACCACAGTCTGGAGTTCAGGAACTTCCACTGCTCTCTCGGTTTTCTAGAGCAGAAGATGTAAACTTGGTGTGCCATTAAAGGGTGTGACAACTGGGTCCTCCTGTGCATTTCCAGCCACTGTCTCCTATGACTTTTGAAAACAAGCATGCCCTCTTTCCTCACCTATGTCTGACAGGAAGGAGCTGTGTCCTCACTACGCCATGGCCACTTCCAGCTCTGAGCTTATGATTGCACCAAATGACCTAACCCTTCCCCACCCTTGCTTGGTTCAACCATCACAGCTCCAGGGAGGCTCTTGAAACTGCTCCAGCATACCTTTCTCTACATTTTTGAAGGAAACATGGGTTCCCTTTGAGGATACTCATAGAAAGAACTATGAGGGGAGTCAGTCTGAAACAGACCATCAAGTGATGGTTTCTAGAGAACAGGGAGTACCCATCCTTGTCCTTCCTTGAGTGAAATCTCCAATTAGTACTTTGAGAGTGAGCAACGTGTTTACTCAGGCAACATGTTCTCAGAACCTCAAATTCTGGAGGGACTCATGCGTTAGTGGAGAAATGGAAAGAAACCTATAGGAGATACAAAAAAGTGATCTCTGAAGCTGCGGCATTTCTTCTAGTAATGCGTTTCCAGTGGCCAAATAATCACGAGTGGGGTGTCAGTGCAGACAATTTCCCAAGAAAAACAGAAATAAAAAAGGTACAGGAGAGAAGGCCCTCCCTCATACCATCCACTGACCCCTTTTCCACCCACAGCTTCCTTTATGATCCACAGGTAAGCTACGGCATTAGAAAAATACAGCTATGCAATTAAGTATGTGAAATAAAGCAAAGGCTACCAGTTCTGTGCTTTGTAAAAATCAGAATGGACTCCAACTTGGAGGTAACTGATGTGTCATGATTTAAGGAAAGGCCACAGACAGAAATCTCTTTATACAACTTTTGCAACAAAATGATACCAAGTACATCAGATCCCCCAACTATTCATTCTCTACTGAAGTATTTATATTTTCTACAATAATACACATCTAGAAAAATAAACTGTTAGTTTTATGTTAGTTTTATTGATGATTTTTTTCCAAAACAGATATAATTTTTTTTTACTGTTTATTTATTTTGACAGAGAGAAAGAGACAGAGCATATTCAGGGGAGGGGCAGAGAGAAAGAGGGAAGCACAGAACCTGAAGCAGGCTCCAGGCTCTGAGCTGTCAGCAGACAGCCCAAAGCAGGGCTCAAACTCACGAACCATGAAATCACGACCTGAACTGAAGTCAGTCACCTAACCCACTGAGCCACTCAGGCGCCCCCAAGACAGATACAATTTTTAATATCACCTTTCTTATCATGTTCGCTGTTTTGATGACCACTGTAGATGTCTAGTAGTGTTTTACAAAACAACTCAAGCATAAGAGAAAGCAATAGATTACTTTTCCTAAGCACTGTGAAAGTTGTTTTCTTCTCCTTGGATGCTAACAGCATGAGTGCTGTGTAAGCATTGAGTCTTGTGTTCTCCTAGCCTAACGAATCCAACCAGGAAGAACTCTCTGAGAGTAAACAGTAAACTTTTTTAAAAGAAGAAAGTCGGGGTACCTAGGTGGCTCAGTCGGTTAAGGATCTGACTTCAGCTCAGGTCATGATCTCACAGTCCATGAGCCCCGTGTCAGGCTGTGTGCTGACAGCTGAGAGCCCAGAGCCTGCTTCAGTTTCTGTGTCTCTGTCTCTCTCTGCTCCTTCCTCTCTCTCGTTGTCTCTCTCTCTCAAAATAAGTAAATTTAAAAAAAAATTTTAAATAAATAAAGAAGAAAGTGAAAGAAAGGAACAGATCTGAGGACTGTGTAGGTATTGATAAGATGAGGATTCAGGAAAGAAGTGGGAGAAGTGGCTGGTATGGTGGAGGTACCGCCAGGAGAAAATGCCTTCCTGAAAACCAAGAAAGAATATGCTTCTGGAAGAGTTTTACACTTCAAAACCCATCCATCCGCAAATTCTCTTGGCTGTAACTTCAACATATCCAGAACGTGACCTCATCATCACCACCACCACCCCACTCTCAGTGCACTGCAAGCCATTGTCAGCTCCCTCTTTGCCAAATGCAGTCTCTAGCTGAGCTCTCTGTTTCCACCCTGGTGGAATAGCCTACTTTCCACCCAGCAGGCAGGGTGATTATTTTAAAAGGCAAGGCAGAATCTACCCATAATCTTTTAAATGCTGTCAATGGGCCCATAAGGTGAGGACTGAGTGGTGATCTTTGATTTGACAACGGAGAGTTACTTGGATGGATGGATGGGAATGAAAACTCATTCTACTGGAGCTGAAATGTAAAGGATGAGTCAAACAAACATCTGTGAAAGTGTTCAACATCATCAGTATTCAGAAAAATACAGATGATATAGCCACAAAGAGATACCACCACACACCTAAAGATTGGCCATATAAAACTGAAAACTCCAAGTATTGCTGTGGAATAGCGGAAACGCTCATAAACTGCTTCAGAAGTGTTCACTGCCATGCGCTTTCAAACAGCACGTTTTACTTTGCAGTTACATTCAGTTTCTCAAGTACCCTGTAACTGAGCTATTTTACTCCTTGGCAAATACCCCAGAAATTTCTGCTTATTGGCATCATGTTACTGGACAATAATGGTCACAGAAGCACTCTTCATAGTATTCCAAAAGAAAAGAACCCCATGTTCACAGATAATCCAGTGAATGTTGTGACTGATCCACACAGAGAAATGCAAGTGTAGAACTATGTGGAAAGGAGTGAGCTATGGCAGCATCCAAAAAGAGTAAGTGTAAACTTAATACCATGTGGAGCAAAAGAGGCCACACTGCGTTCCCCTGAATTCACAGGAAGGTAAGAGGTAAAAAGGGAAGACTTCCAAAAGGTGAAAGCAAAGTCCCCCCCAAAACCCCTCCTCTATAAAAGCAGTTACAACACAAGCAAAAATAGTCAAAGTAAGGAAGTTACTTGCAAGTAAGGAAATTAATCCAAGACAGAACCATGAGACGCTGGTTTGTTCAAAAACAAATACAGTAAAGCAGCTGAGTCTTGGTTAGAAAAGTGAACTCTGTGAAGTTTTAATTGCCCTAGTCCCATACCCCCCTTCTCCCTCAGGTCCCCGGTAGCCTTGAAAAACCACATCATATCAACAGCTGTAGCTGTGAAAACAGGCAGCCTAGCATCCAGTGCAAGGGGCAGAACAGTTTGGAGCTTCTTCAAAAGCCCCATGGCCATAGAACTGTAACTAATTTACACATCTGGCACTTCCCCAGAAAATCCTCACTCACAGGACTTGCCTTGCTATCAACTCTTAGAAGAAAACAGAAGGCAAAAGTTTCACGGCACTGGATTTGGCAAAGATTTCTCCAACATATGACACCAAAGACACAGGCTACAAAAAAATAGACAAAATGGACTTAATGAAAATTTTTAGATCTTCTGCATCAAAAAACACTATTAACACAGTAAAACGCTACCCACAGAATGGGAGGAAATACTGGCAAATCAAGTATCCGAGAAGGGATTAATATCCAGAATATACAGAAAAACTCCTAAAACTCAACTACAAAATCAACAACCTGATTCGAAAACTGGGCCAAGGACTTTACAGACATGTCTGCAAAGAAGATACACAAATGGACTCTGAGCACATAAAAAGATGCTCAACATCACTAATCATTAGGGAAATGCAAATCAAAAGTATAGTGAGGTACCACCTCACACCCATGAGGATGGCTACTGTCCAAAAAATCAGAAAATAACAAGTGTTGGAGAGGATGTGGAGCAAATTGGAATCCATGTGTGCTATTGGTGACAATATAAAATGATACAGCCATTGCGGAATACAGTGTCGCAGTTCCTCAAAAGATCGGAAATAGAATTCCTGTATGGTTTGGCAATTCCACTTCTGGGTATATACCCAAATGAGCTGAAAGCAGGGTCTGGAAGAGAGATCTGTATGTCCATGTGCTTAGCAGCACTATTCACAGTAGCGAAAACACAGAAGCAATCTAAGTGTCCACTGACAAACGATAAATGAACAGATAAGCAAAATGTGGTATACACATACAATGAAACATTATTCACTCTTAGAAAGAAAAGAAATCCTGACGCGTGCCACAACACAGATAGACCCTGAAGAAATTATGCTAAGCAAAATAGGCCAGTCCCCAAAAGACAAATATTGTTATGATTCCACTCACAGGAAGTACTCAGAGCAGTCACAATCACAGACACAGAAAGTAGAATGGTGGCTGCAAGGGGACAGAGGCAAGGGGGCCCCGGGGACTTACAGCTTAATGACTATGGAGTTTCACTTATAAGATGAAAAGAGTCCTGGAGATCCATAGTGGTGGTGGTAGCACAACATTATTGATGTATTTAATACCAGTGAAGTGTGCCCTTAGAAATGCTATATTTTATGTTCTGTGTGTTTTAACACATTAAAAGAAGAAGGAAAAAAATGAGATAGTTGTCTGCTCAGAGAGAAACACAGCACTGAGGAAGTGAAAAGACAATGGGTTGGGAGACAATACTTGTAGATCATCTATGTGATAGAGACTAATACCCAGACAATATTAAGAACTCTCACGACTCAAGAAGAAAAAGACACCCAATTTTAAAAGGGCACAGCATGTGAACAGACATCTCTCCAAAGAAGAAATAAATGATCAATAAGAATAGGAAGGAGACTGTGCAATATCACTAATTACCAAAAAAGTGCAAATCAAAAGTACGATGAGATACCACTTCACATCCACTAGGATGGCTAAAATCAAAAGGACAGGCAGGAACGAATGTCAGTGAGGATGTGGAGAAACTGGAATCCTCATTTACTGCTGCCAGGGATGTAAAATCATGTAGCTGCGTTAGACAACAGTTGGGCAGTTCCTCAAAAGGCTAAACAGACTTAACATATGACTGAACAATTCCACTCCCAAGTACCTACCCAAAGCAAATGAGAATATTTGTCCATGAAAAAACTTGTACTCAAATGACCAAAGCAGCAGGATTACTCACAATAGCCCAAAAGTGGAAACAATCAAAATGGTCATTGACTGATGGGTCAAAAAATAAAATGTGGTACATTGATTTACTCATTCAAAAAGCATATATTATTTGGCCAAAATGCAACACAGTACAGATACATATTACAACATGGCTCCTCCTTGAAAAGATGTGAGGTGAAATAAGGCAGTCACAGAAGACCACACGGTAGAAAATCCATTGCTATGAAATGCCCAGAACAAACAGTCATAAAGTTGGAAGGTACACTAGTGTTGGCCAGGGACTCAGGGGAGGGAACAATGGAGAGGGACTGCTAATGAATACGAGAGCTTTCCTTTGAGGGTGAGGAAAATGCTCCAAACTCGACTGTGGCAAAGAATGCATAATTTTCTGAACATGCTACAAACCACTGGATTATACTCTTTAAACCATAACTACTATAGTATGTGAGTTGTAGCTCAATAAAGGTGTCACTAAAAGACAAGTAATCTAAAGTCACACAATTCTGGGATGCCTATTTAGGAAGCAAAACAATTTAAAAAGTGAGAAAGTAGTTACCGTAAGAGACAGGATCATGGTTCTCTCTGAAGCAGGAGGGTGTATGATTGGCAATGAAAGGTAAATGGGCAACTTCTGTGGAGCTAAAACTGTTGATTACTTCATTGGGGTTGTACACACACAGCTGTTTCTCTCCCTGAGTAAAATATACACAACATTAACGATCTTAACTGTTTTTAAGTATACAGTTTGGTGGCATTAAGTACATTCACACTGTTGTGCAACCGTCACCACCATCCATTTCTAGAACTTTTCATCATCCCAAACTGCAGCTCTGTACCCATTAAATAATAACTCCCCATTACTCTTTTCCCCAGCTCCTGGTCATCTCTATGCTAGTTTCTGTCTCTATGAACTTGACTCTTTGAGGAACATCATATGAATGTAATCATAAAATACTGTCCTGTGTGTCTGGCTCAGCTGTTCTTTTTTTAGTGGTCAACCAGCCCACTTGGGTCTGTCCTGCAGCACAGGGCCGCCACTTCATTTGCCTTATCTAACAGACTGGCCTGGGAGGTGTGCATATCAGTATAATACCTCATTGAGGGATAAAGAACACGTGTTACAGAGCAAGAGGTTTAGAAGAGGGGAAGTGAGCAACAGAGTGTGCCCACCAAAGATGTCTAAGCCCCCTCGTCTGGAACATTGGAGTTAGCCAAGCAACGGACGACAGGAGGGGTGGGGGCGGGCGTTCCGTGTGGCACAGTTGAAGAAGGCATGCAGGTTTTGTTTCCATTTTCAAGGTATGGTCTTGCATTTTAGAGTTAGCCGCCCTTCATAATTTCATCACCCCATCGTGTCAAAAGGACTTTATCCAAGGAGCACCAAAGCTGATGCTGTGGAAGAAGTCACAGAGAAAGGACACTATCTGAAGGATTACAGAGAGATCAGAAAGACTGGAAAGGACACAGCCAGAGGCTGTGCCTCTCAGAAGTAGGCAGCAGCCAACCTTCACACAGCCAGCATAGATCTGGAGCTAATGCTTTGACTGAGGGTCTGTGTGTCAGGGAGAGCTGGTGCTAATGGACACAGGCCACACACCATCAATTGATTCACAATGGCCATGTCAGTGGCAGCCTCTGTGAGACACTCTACCTCCTTCTTGTCTTGTCTGCAGAATACCAAGTGGTTATGCATGAGGCTGGCAGAGTGCTTCAGACTTGGGGTTCCCAAATGAAGGGTTCCAGGTGGGCACTAGTGGTGCCAGGACCTCTGTGTGTCGGGTTAGGGATCATGCTAGCGTTGGCGCTGATTTTCCTGCCAACCTTGTACTGTGACCTGGGATCTGTATATTATACTTCCTATGAAATAGTCATCCCCAGGCAGCTGACTGTTCAGGAAAGGGACACCCCAGTGAAAGACACATCCTATATGATATTTATGCAGGACCAGAAATGGGTGATTCACCTGAAGGTGAAGAGAGACTATTTTGTGAAGAACTTTCCAGTCTTCAGCTACCACAGTGGTGTCCTGCGGCAAGAAATGCCTTTCATCTCACATGACTGTCACTATGAGGGCTACATAGAAGGAGTCCCAGGTTCTTTTGTTTCTCTTAACACCTGTTCAGGCCTCAGGGGCATCCTGATTAAGGAGGGGAATCCCTATGGCATTAAGCCCAAGGACACTTCAAAACACTTTGAACATGTGTTGTACACCATGGCACACCAAGCTCGAGTCTCCTGTGGGGTCACCTCCAAAGGCAGCCAAGTGGTGTCTGCCAGCCGGCAACAGGCGAGCCGGAAGCCTCGCAGTCCACAGGCACTGCCCTCCTCGTGGTCACACACCAAGTACGTGGAGATATTTGTCGTGGTCGACAACCAGCGGTTCCAAATGTGGGGCAGTAACGTCAGTGAGACAGTCCAGAGGGTAATGGACATCACCGTTCTGGCCAACAGCTTCACTAGGGGAATAAACACAGAGGTGGTGCTGGCTGGAATGGAGATCTGGACCGAGGAGGACCTCATAGAAGTCCCAGCGGACTTGCAAGTTACACTCAGGAATTTCAACAGCTGGAGACAGGAGAAGCTCTCCCATCGTGTGAAGTACGATGTTGCCCACATGATCGTTGGACATCATCCTGAAGGAGATGTGGGACAGGCATTTCTCAATGGCGCCTGTTCAAGTGGCCTTGCAGCAGCTGTTGAAGCCTTCCATCATGAAGATGTCCTCCTGTCTGCAGCGCTCATGGCCCACGAGCTTGGGCACAACTTGGGTATTCGGCACGACCACTCAGCCTGCGTTTGTGAGGATAAACACTTGTGCCTCATGCACAAAAATATCACCAAAGAAGGTGGCTTCAGCAACTGCAGCTCTGACTACTTCTACCAGTTCCTCCGGGAACACAAAGGGACCTGCCTATTTAACAAGCCTCGGCCCCAAGGTCGCCTGCGTAGGAATACAGAGTGTGGAAATGGTGTCTTGGAGGACAATGAGGAGTGTGACTGTGGACCCGACTGTGGTAATAACCAGTGCTGTGACCAAATGTGTAGGCTGAAAGAAAATGCAAAGTGTAATCCTGGACCCTGCTGTAATGAAACATGTGGATTTGCACAAAAGGGATTCATGTGTCGTCCTGCTTTTGGAGAGTGTGACCTCCCTGAATATTGCGACGGTACCACTGACATATGCCCCTATGACACATACAAGCAAGATGGTACACCTTGTGAAAGAGTTCACTATTCTGTTGCAGGTGTTTGTAGGACCCCTGATACTCATTGTCTACATGTTTTTGGGTACCCTGCAAGATCTGCCCCAGAAGACTGTTACATTTCCATTAATACGAAAGAGGACCGATTTGGAAACTGTGGCCTTCCCACATCACCTCACTCAGAATATGTTAAATGTGAAGATGAAAACATATATTGTGGGAAAATTATATGTACAAATATTAGACACTTACCAGAAATTAAACCTAATCAAACAATGATTCAGGTTCCTCATAAAGATGATTTCTGCTGGAGCATGGATGCCTATTATGTTACTGATATCCCTGATGATGGACATGTGCACAATGGCACTCTTTGTGCCCCAGACAAAATCTGTATGCATCACTCCTGCATTGGTCATGCTGTGCTCAGCTACAACTGTGAACCAAAAGAAATGTGTAATGGGAAAGGAGTTTGCAACAATTTAAAGCACTGCCATTGTGAGGCTGGCTATGACCCGCCCAACTTCAAAGCTGCAGGAAATGGGGGTAGCGTGGACTCCTAGGGCACCACACCCAGATGAAACTCAAAACACTACCACTGTTCACAAAGATGAAAAAAAATTCTTAGACCATTTGCTCATATTACTCCCGATACTTTTGGGCATAGTATTATTATCGATAATTGTTTGTGTCACCATCCTTCATGGACATTCAAAAGAAGCTCCTCCAGAACCCACAGAAAAGGGTCCAGAAGAGGCTGCGTTAAAGTCCCCAGAACCAGAGCCTGAAATACCTGCTGCAGAAGATGCAGCCAAAGAGGCTCCATCAGAAGAAGAGGAAGAGGAGAAGGAGGAAGAAGAAGAGGAGATATGAGAGTCCTAAGACAAGTAGTAGGAGGAAGAAGTCAAATATATCACACATCTCAAGCACTGAGTGGGAATGAGAGGCTCAGGGAGGTAAAGGGGAAGTGGGAATTGACAGCTCCAGTGGCTCTAACTAGAATTATTCAGTCTATAAAAACATACTAATGTAGGAGGAGGGATTCATCCACTATTATTATTCATTTTAGTAGCTGAGGTTTTATTTATTTAATATACTAAATGTTTTATTTTACTACTTCTTACTCTTCCACATTTCATTTGAACTCCTCATATGCATCTATAGACATCAGTCTTTGTCTTGGGCCACTTTTTCCATTCACCAGCAGTTTTAGGACATGCCAACTTTCATCTAAGTTGTTTGACATACATTACCACATGTTCCTGCATTTATTACTTTCACTTACATTTTCATTGCAATACCACTACATATTATGAGGACAGTTTTTAATGTAGCATTTTAATTTGCCCTATAAATGTGCATTCAGAAAACGAGGAGTGTTTAAATCCAAAAATAAATAAAACTCTATTCAGTACATCTCTTCAGATTCCACCTGCCATAGTTATTGGGTCCACTTTCTTCTGGGACTCTGTGGGATGTACTATACCTTGTAATCCAGAAGACCCTGATTGTCCCAAAGTCAAGGGGCAAGTGTTGAAGTAATGTACTTTTTCAAATCTGGCAGATGTTTAATATGATGTATGTATATCCAATTTATTACTTCCTAGTATTTCCAAGACCTTCCTATAGTCATCCTCCCTTTTTACCCAAAAGGTTTCATTTCTTTTTCTTCTAAAGCAGCTTTCATAGCATTTTCTCTTTACTAATCTTCATGGGATGAATTTCAGACCTCCAAATGTCTCATGTCTGATGAACATCATGTAGACTTAGCAAACTGTATTTATACTAATTTTATAACAGTACAGAGGTCCCTACCACAGTGCTACATATTTTGTCAATTTTTTTAATTTGTTGAAATTAATAACTTATTGAGTGACATCCAAAGGCATCTCTCCAATTAAAGGTAATGGAGCTTAGAGGTGGTAGATACTTCTCTGTGAAGATAGCACAAAGCGATTGTAATATTAGTGTTATTCATTCTGTGCTAGAAACTGTTAAATATTTTGCATTCATTGTTTCAACTTAATCTTCCCAACTTCCACATGAAACCCTCATCTTGTTCATGAGGAAGCAAAGAAAATTTGCTCTAGAACTGGTAAGTGGTGGAACCTGAATCTCTCCTCAAGTATGACTCAGTCTTCATTTCCATTTCCTTATGAGCTTTTTCCTGTGGTAAAAGTGATGGGGAAGACACTCAATATGTATATGCCCTTAAATGACCTCTATTATGAATTCCAAAATGTGTAATCATTATTGATGAAAATGTCTTTTCTCCTATTACATCCTGACATCATGGAATGGTTCATCTTATTTAGTGGTATAGGCTCAGCACATCGTAGATGCTTAATAAATGTTTATCCAGTGAATAATTAAATAGTGCTAACCATAAAATATAGAGCCAGATTCATTCCCTGGGCAGAATGTCTTTTGCTACTCCTTAACACAACTGAAATCTTACTCAGATGCAATATTGACTGCTAAACATTTATACATTGTCAAGTAATAAAAAGTTTATAAAATTTCAAATTCCAGCAAATGAAGTTTGAACCAGATTATGATAGCCTACAGTAGGGGAGGAGGCCACTTTTAATGTGGGCAGAAGAAAGCAGATGTAACTTGGGGTATGAAGTCTCCAAGTTCAAGGGTCCAAGTTTCTTGTAAAGCTCAGGTGACAATTCTGCATTGCGTGTACTCAAGAAAGTATACCTTTTCACCTGACTCCCCTCCCCATCTGAGGGATTCTGATGAATACTTGTAGCACTATCCAATCATCTGTGTCAGTAGTCAACAGCCAGCCACTTTCCTAAGGTGACTCACTGCTATCTTTTACCAGTCTTTCCTGGGCAACTTACTGTCCTTTCTGTGCTGCCTTAGGCCAGCGGAGACCCAGGCTCTTCCCTTAGTTCCTCAAAGCACAGCCCCATCCAGGCTCTATGTTTTTAATCTAGATTTGTGGTTTTGGGGAACAAAGGGAAATTACAATGTGGAAAAGAAAAACATTTGGATGCTGCAGATAGGTATTAATACTTCTAAGAGTCCAGGGGTCATTCCCCACTGGTGACTTAGATAGGCCATTTCTCTCCTTTTTGACCTGACCCAACATCTTTTCTGGTTCCTGTAGGAGTTCTTGTGATAATATCCTCATTATCTGGAATCAGATTCCACCACATTCTCTGGGGACCAGTGAAAAGGGGCAAAAAAATGTTTTTAATGATTTACTGAAAACCTAAATCACGTCACCATACCCTCATGTGAACAAACAACAATGTAGAAGGAGGGGTTCATTCACTTTTATTATTCATTTTAGTAACTGAGGTTTTATTTATTTAATATACTAAATGTTTTACTACTTACTCTTCCACATTTCTTTTGAACTCCTTATATGCATCTATAGACATCAGTCTATGTCTTGGGCCATTTTTTCCATTCACAACAGAGACAAAGCTAAACTAAAATTACTTTGACAAAAATTTAGCTTCTTATATGTTCAAACTTCATTTCTTTCTTTTTTTTTTTTTTTAATGTTTCATTTATTTCTAGGAGAGAGAGAGAGTCAGCGTGAGCAGGGGAGGGTCATAGAGAGAGGGAGACATAGAATCCGAAACAGGCTCCAGGCTCTGAGCCGGCAGCCAGCACAGAGCCCGACGCGGGGCTCGAACCCACAAACCACGAGATCACGACCTAAGCGAAAGTCGGACGCTTAACCAACTAAGCCACCCAGGCACCCCTCAAACTTCATTTCTTAAGCTTATTTTTTATTTTTCTTGATATATAATTGACATATAACATATTAGTTTCAGGTGTACAACAAATTCCTATTTGGATATATTTTGAAATGATTATCACAGTAAGCTAACATGTATCACCATACACAGTTATATAATTTTTTTTCTTATGAGAACATTTAAGTTCTACTTTCTTAGTAACTTTCAAATATATAATACAGTATTAATTAGTCATTATGCTGTATATTATATCCCCAGGACTTATTTATTCTATGATTGAAAGTCTGCATCTCTTGACTGCCTTCACCCATTTCACCAACCCCCTCATATCCTGCCTCTGGCAACTTTTCATTTGTTCTATCTATGAGGTATTTTTGGTTTTTGTTTGTTTTTAGATTCCACATATAATTGAGAACATATGGTATTGGTCTTTCACTATTGACTTACTTCACTTATCAGTATTCTCTCAAGGTCTATCCATGTTGTTACACATGGCAAATTTCCTTTTTTCTTGCTGAATAATATTATATATATTTGTATATATATTTGTATATATGTATATATTATTGTGTATATATACACATGTGTATACATATAAAATACTCATATAAATAGTAAATATACATATATATTATCACATTTTCTTTATCCATTCATCCATTGATAATACATAGGCTGCTTCCATGTCTTGGCTATTGTCAGTATGCTCCAGTGAACATGAAGGTGCAGGTATCTTTTCAAGGTAGTGTTTTTGTTTCCTCTGGATAGCCAGCAGTGGAATTACTAAGTCATATGTTTAGTTCTATTTTTAACTTTTTTGAGGAACCTCCATAGTGTATTCACCAATTTACATTCCCACCAGTAGTATACAAGGGGTCCCTTTTGTACACAACCTCGCCAGCACTTGTTAGTTCATGTATTTTTTTTTATAATAATCATTCTAACAGGTATAGGGTGATAATTCATTATAGTTTTGATTTGCATTTCCCTGATAAGTGATACTGAGATCCTTTTCATGAAACTGTTGGCCATTTTTTTTCTACATTAAAAAACTTTTTTTTACTGTTTGTTCATTTTTGAGAGACAGACAGAGACAGAACGTGAGTGGTGGAGGGGCAGAGAGACAGACAGACTCTAAAGCAGGCCCCAGTCTCCAAGCTGTCAGCACAGAGCCTGAAGTGGGGTGGAACTCACAAGCTGTGAGATCATGACCTGAGCCAAAGTTGGGACACTTAACCAACTGAGCCACCCAGGTGCCCCTATAAATTTTATATGGAGAAAGAGAGAGAGCGTGCGCACGTGCACATGCACCTGAGCGGGGGAGGGGCAAACAGAGTGGGAGAGAAAGAATTCCAAGCAGGCTCCACACAGTGAGCACAGAACCCAATGCAGGGCTCAATTCCATGAACATGGAGATCATGACCTGAGCCAAAATCAAGAGTTGGACACTTAACCAACTGAGCCACCCAGGTGCCCACTGGTAGCTCTTCTTTGGAAGAAATGTCTATTCAGACCCTCTTCCCATTTTTTTATTAGGTTGTTTTACTGCTCTTTAGTTGTATGAGTTCTTTACATATTTGGGGTATTAACTCCTTATTAAGTACACAATTTGCAAATATTTTCTCCCATTCAGTAGTTGCTTTTCCTTTGCTGTGGAAGCTTTTAGTTTGAAGTAGTTTCAGTTATTTTTGTTTTTGTTGCCTTTGCTTTTGGTGTCAAATCCAAAAGAGCACTAACAAGACCAATGTCAAGAAGCTTACTGCCTATGTTTCCTTCTAGGAATTGTATGGTTTCAGGTCTTACATTCAAATCTTTAATCAATTTTAAGTTAATTTCTG